AGATGACAAAAGTCCGAGTTGGGCAGGCAGGAGGGGTGGTGTACAGGTCCAACAAACACCGACTTTCACACAGGAGAGCGGTGTTCGCATCAAGCAAGATTATAAAGCCAAATCCTGTTCTTTGTTATTTTTTTTTACTAAACCCAACCATGTGCTTTTGTTTTTGAAGGCAAAAAAGTCAATTAGCAGTATTTTATTTTGAAAGAGACTGTATGTAAACATTAAATTTCTTGTGAAAACTGAAGTGTACTTTGAAAGAAGACAATGCATGTAACAGGCAGAACATGACAACCTGCACACCCAGGGTACTTGTCACTTCGTATCTGGACGTGGAAAGTCCATGATGAAATGTCGATATGTGACGAGGTCGGAATGAGAATGTGTTGGAATGGGGTGTTAATTTATCTTATGATATCACAATGTCTATACAATGATGATTTTTAATGCAGAATATTTTAAAGAAATATATAAACATTTAAGATTTACAGCTCAATTTAAATAACTTCAGGGACCATCAGGGACGAGTTGATAGTTCCTCAAGAGCTAGACTGTTCCAGTATTTGCTTTTGTATTTAATTTTAGTGTATATATTCCATAAATTATAGTTTTTCTACAGTTTTGTTATGTATTTGTTGTACTTGACAAAGCAGGTTATCTTTTGCATTTAAGACAAAAATCTTCTCAGATTTGCTTTTCTATAATATTTTTTAGTGAAGTGTGTACAAAAGACGTTTTAACCTTTCAGTCCTAAGACCTTCATTTAATAAAATTAAAATAATATTTTAGTTTATTCTGCATGCTTGCTTGTTTCAACTTTGTTCTTTGCATGTTTTAAAGAGGGCACATATCACAAATGAGTGGCAGGTATAAGAGGATAAATCACTTCAGTAGTTGTTATATTTTTAGGTCACTGCAGAACTGAAGGTAGAATTGAAGTTTTGGTTGTTTTTTTTCTTTCTGCCCTTAATATTGTGAGTTCTGACTAAAGGAACCACACAGAATCCAGTGTGAAAGATGCAGGTTCAGCCCCTGCAGCAGTCACAGTCCTCCTGACGTGTCCCCGGTCAGGACGCTGTAATCCTGCTGTCCAGTACCATTTAGTGAAGAACCCAAGAACCCGTCATGTCAAACTGATAAACACATCTATTTACAAGTTTTCTGCCTTTTTTGGGGGGCTAAGCACGGACTCCATTGTTGAGTGTTGAATTGAGAAATCTTGTGATTTGTGCCGTTTTCTCGCCCCAGCAGTATTATTGAAATGAAGATAAATTGCAGCCAGTCCCAGAGAAATTTTCCTCAAAAGAAACAAAGCCAAATGAACACCGAAGATGTATAAAATGCGCTTTGTTCATCAGAGGGAGGGAGAGAGAGAAAGGACTCCACTCAGCGAGCTCTGAATGCTGCATTTCATGCCTGCAACAATTATGCTGAAAGGTCAAGTATTACAGCATCTTGTGCTCCGCTTTGCATGCAAAGTATTTCAGCTCACAAATGACCCTCGTTTGCGCTCTTTTAACAATGGCTTGAAGAAGCAGATAAACGTAGGACAATTAAAGATTTTTGCTGCTAGCCGACAATAACATTTACCAAAGGGGGTGATTGCAGTTGCTGAGTAATTGTCCTATTTGTGATGCACATGAATGCCTTGGCCTGCTGCAATGAAATGTTTAGGAACTTAAGAAAGAGGAAGGAGAACGGCTGTGCTTCAAAAGAAGAAATGTATTATTTTTATATCCTCTAAACAAGATTATTATGGGGCTGCCTTGGGAGGATGGATCTATAGGGGTTTCTGCTTATGATTCAAATGTTTTATACTTTCCTTATAGGTAAAATCAAGTGAAATAATTAATAAACTAAGACATTAGATATACATAATGTTAGTTAACATTGCTTGCCTGTATGCTGATTTTCTATTTACATTTATTTCAGCACCGAGGCCCGTCTGATGCATATTTAATACAAACAAACAAACTATAAATGTAAAACTGTAGGAAGTCCATCTGACAGTTTTTCATTTTATTTTTCATTTTAGTTTTATAATGGCCTCTAATTAATCACAGCACTGTGTTAAAGCCTCACACGTCTGCGTGTTATCCTCGTTTTCATCAATGGGAATATATATGTCCAAAAATTACAACTGCACGTTCACTTTAAATAAAGGAACGAAATGAACGACGCCAGTTACTGTCTATTTTTTAAAATTATTGTTATTATCTTTTTTTTTCAGGTTTGATTATGGATATATTTTATTTATCAAGTGTATCCTGTCATTTAAGTTTTATTTAATTTTAAAATTGTAAGTTTACCTAGCTTATAATAAAATCTAAATGGGGAAAAGGAAAGATATTGTTTTTAAAGACACGTAACTCTGCAAAAATATCCACCTCGAGGGATTTAATAATTTAAAACGTGCAGGATTGTGTTAATGTAATGTGTCCTAAAATTTTATCATAGATACTGACACCCAATTTTAAAATATTACCCTTAAAAGAATGAAAACGCACTGGAAACACACCTGCAATTTATAATTTTCGTTAAAAAAATACAGTTTTGAAAAAGGAGACACAACTTCAACAAACATTTTTTAAGGTGCAGGTTGCAAAATTCGTTAGTTAAAAATCTAATTTAATTCTAAAAAACAAAATAATTTTGCTTGTTTGCACTCACATGTCGACGCCACTGTAAAAATTTAAATCACTTCTCGTTCAGTTTAAGTTGTACACGTTTGATTTCCCCTTAAAGTTAAAATTCAGTCTGAACACGCCACTGACACATGAAACAGGATTTCTGGATGCCACACATCACCCAAAGTGATACTGCAGCTAAACAGGCGAATAAAATTCAACAGCTAGTCGCTAACTCAAATATGATTACCTTGAGATTAGGGACTAATTGCTTGGGGTTCATGGAGACCAGCCCACCATAAAGCCAGGAGGACTTGGGGAGTTGCACTGTGGGTTTCTACAAAGGAGAGCGATGAGAGCACACACGCTTCCAACAAGTCATTCTCAACAGCTACAAGCTGCACACAAAGACCACACACCGCGCCAAAGACATGGTAATGTAATCCCAAAGTTCTCACTTTGCTCCCGAACAAAACCAGCTCTGCAAAATACCTAATAGAAGATAGTTTCTGATGCTGGTTAAGATTTCACTTAAAAGTCTCCAATAGGGGTTTTTCTGGGGGCTGCTGCGTGGTGGCCTCAAACTGGGGCCGCTGCCTTAAAGTGATACACGCAGATTAAGGAAGTTTAGTTTCCTGCTTTGCTGAAAAATCACATTTTCTATATGCAATATCTATGCATTTAAATTAAAAGAGTTACATGCCAAAAGAGTGTCGGCTGAAATTAAATTTTACACTCTACATGCTCATAATAGGAGCCAAAATGTGCTGCTGAATCCGAGTCACAGCCACAACATCAACCCTCTAATGGTTTTTAAAGACATATTTAAAGGTTGCATTAACGCCAACATAAGGGTAACAAGATGACGCATAGGTCATGTATGATTTCACAACATAATATCTAATAGTTATGGATGTAAAGGTCAGCAAGCAGGCGGGATAATAAGCAAGAAATCCTCCATTAACATCACTGATCCCATGTAAAAGTCATGCATCAGATGGGGCGACAGGAGTCAGGTGCAAACTAGGCCTGGAGGGCTGATGCAGCTGCACGTGAGCCATCACCGACGGTACTTTTGGGCAACATACACCCGCATTTTGAAGCGTAATATTTGGGCAATGATGGGTTAAATAGTTAGACAATGGCTCAGTGGATTGAGCGGTGTTTTAGTTGTTATATTAAGCCTGAGTTAAAGATGTAAGAATAAAGAAAACATGTGGGGGGAAATGTGAAATCAATTTTACAAAATGAGGCCATACAGAAATTATCATTATATCAAAATGATGGGTAACAGTCCAGGAATCTTTGTATTAAAAATATGTGCGCTTTAAATCTTTCTTCCATGGAGCTATATAAAGAAATTTGAGGACATTTAATTGAAATAAAAACGCATTTTTTGTCATCATTGAATATAAATTAAATCAAGTGTACCTGCATCTTATCCAGACTGAAACTATGTGAGATTTTAGCCACAGGACCTGCGACAAAACAACTTATTTTCAGCCGTAAACGAAAATCACCTGTCGTTACCTCCGTCGCTTAGCAACCACACTGTTTACTGTTAATACCTATAGCGCTATTAGGCGGCGAAAGAATAGTCCCTAATGATTATTATAACTTTTATTTACAGAGCCTACAATTTAAGGAAAATAAATAACCGGTTGCGGGTGATGGTCGGTGCGGCCGTTTAAAAAAAAGCCACGCGGCCTAAAATAGAGAGTTTAATCTTTAAAGAAATGTTCGTGTCGCTTTCTTATTGAAACGCGGCCACAAACAGACTGTCGTCGTTTCCTTTCAATTCCTCCCCCTCCTGATTGATTATTGATAAAGCAGCTGATACAGCCTCGCGCCGACGGCTCGGCCTCGCGCGCTGTTTGGTCAGGGATTTCATCGATAAGCTGTTCTTTGCGCAGCGTTTGTGTTTGATGTAGGGAGCCGAAAAGACCTCACCTTTCTGACTCACACAGTCCAAACACAGGGAGAAAGAGAAAAGAAATCATAAAGGCGCCGTTTACTCTGCAGGGCTCTGCAGCCTGGGCCGATAAGCCTGCAGAGCTGTGAGAATAAAACAGAAAAATACACTCCAGTGTTTAATTGTGGTGTCAGAATAAGAGTGTTGATATAGTGTTAGTTTGGCAACCCTGGAGCTATTTGACGACATGGACGTTTAATTCTTGCACATTCTTTTCCACAATAAGGCCAAGAATAAATTTTAAAATGCGCAAATAATAATAATGGCGCACAGGTTTTAATTTTTACTCCATTCCCAAACGCATATGCCCGCCATTTACCACCGCATATGATGACATATTTCACAAAAAACTGTGCTCTCTTTTTCCATAATTTATTAATATGACTGTTTTGTTGTAAGTCAAATATCTATATAAGTTACAAAGAAATAAAACGTACAAATACCAATGAAACGACAACAAACCGGCAATAGCGTCAAAAACTTTGTACAACAGATAGCTAAAATTCAAACCTTTTACAGAAATATACAAGCTAGATCTACGGCTTACATTAAATTCTATTATAAATCAGAGTCATGTGTGTTTGTGTGTTTGTGAGGGGGGTGAGGGTGGGGGGTTAACAGCACCCACATACAGCAGTTTCCCTGTTCAGGTTCACTTTCTCCAAACTACTGCGGCCTATATGACTGCTGATTTCTTCTTTTATCTCAATATAATTTACATAAATAAATCCAAAGACTTCCGCAGTTTCTGGTCAAAAGTGTTTCTGCCTCCTTCCTTCCTTTATATAAGTCACATTTCCTTCCAAAAAAGGTGAAAATTCAAGAGGAGCTGCACCGATTTCTCTCGGTTCTTGTTCAGATGCGCACATTTACAGTGGAACTTGTAGAGTCTTGAAAGAAAAAAAAAGTCTGTTTTTTTTCTTTAAATAGAAGAATTGGTTTTAAATCATAGCGGGCGCCTCTTGTCACCACGTCCTGCCGTATAACAGAGCCGAACACTGCAGGGCCGAGCCATACTCTGCGCCGGGGGAGTTGAGGTGAGACAGGCCGGCCACTTGGCTCTGCAGGGACGGCGGACTGGAGGAGTGCGGAGCCAAATCTGGAGAGTGACCTGTGCTCCCCACCTGCTGGCTCTGGTGCTGCCCGAGGCCGGACGTGTTGTTGGACATGATCATGACGTTGCCCCCTTGCTGGTGGAGGGTCTGCGCGGAGGATGTGGGCGTGTGGCCGCTGCCTTGGCACGGCTTGCCGTCCTTCACCAGCACCGGCACAGCCACCCTCCGCGGGGACTGCTGCTGCTGCTGCTGGCACGAGCCGCTGTCCTGCTGCATCTGCTGCTGGGACACTTTGTCTTTGGCCTGCCTCTTCATCTTGTACCGGTGGTTCTGAAACCAGATTTTCACCTGGGTCGGGGTGAGGTGGATCATACTTGCCAGGTGTTCCCTCTCCGGCGCCGACAGGTATTTCTGCTGCTTGAAGCGTCGCTCCAGCTCGTAGACCTGAGCCTGGGAGAACAGCACTCGTCTCTTTCTCCTCGGGGTGCTGGACAGAGAGCCCATGCCTTTACCCACGTCTGCCAGGGAGCTGAGGCTGCCCATGCTGCCCATGTTCATGCCCGACGACGAGCCCATGAAGCGAGAAACTGAGGAAAAACATTAAATTAATATAATGAAACCACTGATTTTACATGCAACAAGTGTCACACAGTGCACAAATAATTTCATTAATGCGTAAAACCTCATTGAAAATTAGGGTTGAGACTTTTTTCAGTTGATGAAACAATGTGTCCTAATGTGGCATTCACACAATTACAACCCTGCTCATTATTTTGATGACTCAACACGGTCTGCATTTTGACACGAAGCTAAAAATCAAACGCTTCCTAAAGAGGCAGGTGCCCTCATCCATAAAACCTAACGCGTGTCAAAGTCCATTTCACGTATAACCAAACTGTAAATCTGAGCACAGACTGCAGCACTAGCTCATGTCTGACTGCATATTATTATCGGATTAATGCCATATTCAACATTAAAAGATCTTGGAGGACATTTTCAGCATGAATGCTCCTCATGGTGACACTTTTTTTCCAGATGTTGCACGCCGTGAACTGAATACATGATTTCGCTTTATCTCTGCTCTCCCTCGTAACATTAAAAGCCAGCGGGTGAAATATAAACTGGAGAGGGTTATGGAGAGGGCTTATCTTGGCGCACAAACACGCACAGGTGCCAGAAACAATACAGGAAGCTCTAAACTACGCGTAAAACTGCATTTTGAGCGCTATACACCCTCGGTTCAACTCAAAGCTGGAGGCAAAGTGCAGGTGCAGGGCTGTACTCACTGGTGGAGAAGCGCGGGTCCGGGTTGGCTCCGTACCAGCCGGTGGCTGTGGTGCTGCCCCTCATGCCGTCCTGGTACGACGGCAGGTCGCCCATGTTGCCCAGGTTGCCGTTACAGTAGCCCCCCATGGCCGTGTGTGACAGCTGAGAAACACCTGCCGCAGTCATGTGGTAAGCCGCAGAGACAGTCCCATTATGGCCCATGTGGTGCTGCTGCATCGCCGCCTGAGAGACCTGCGGCTGCCGGTAAGAAGTGAGAGGTGCCCCCAAGTTGTTATTCTCCATACTTACTTTCTTATAGCTCTCCTCAAGAGGACTCAAGATATCGGAAACAGAAAAAGGAGTCGTATGCTTAGGGCTCATCGACATTGTTCTGGGACTGGAGAGGGAGAAATTAGAAGGCAAGGCAATCTCTCCTTCTCTCTCTTTTTTTTTTTTTTTTTTTTGGCCAAAGCCCCTCTGGTTCCTGTTGTCTCAACGTCGATCCTGGTAGATGAACACGTAGGAGAGCGCCTCAAGTCCGCCTTAATTGGATTGAGTGGGAGCTCGGTGCTGGCTTTGGTTTGTTTTAGCTGGGTGCCAGGTTTAAGGCTACCATCAGAGGCGGGGCATCAGCAACAATACAAAACAGCTCTAGCCTCCTTTCGCCGAGCGTAATTTCACTTACAAGACATGTGCTCCCCTCCCACTAACAATAACATAAGCGCTGTACATGATCATAAATGTGGGTCCCGGCGGCTGCGCTCGGTGTCCGGGGCTCTGTGCGGCTGCTGCGGCTGCCGCATTTGGAGTTTGTGACTTGTTGCTGTGGCTGATAAACACACCGCTGCACCTTGGGACTGCACTGACCACAATACACTTTATTAACTGTAGTGATGTTTACGAGGGCCTCTTGATGAAAGGAGGCCTATATGGACTTGAGAGTTGGAGAACCACTCCTCAGTTGAACTACTGACTTTTAATGGCCATGAGAGGCCTCCAGTGATTGCAGGATTGTTTGTGTTATGCCTTATCGTACTCAGACATGCAAAAGTGCACTTGCGGGGAGGGAAATTGACTGATACTGATAAGTAAATAAATACACATCCGCGTGTTAAGTGGCTGCGTAAATGATTAACCCCCCTCGTTTTTTTGATATCATTGGACGCAAGCAGCGTGTTACCTAAATTCAGATGCACACACTCTTCTCCCAGTAAAATGAAAGAAAGAAAAAAAAAACACGCAAAAAAAAAAAAAAAAAATCACAAAATAGAGTCTGGAGTAGGAGAGGCTCTCATGTGAAGTTAACGGCGTTCAAGTACTCTCCTGCAGCACAACGCCAGGTAGCCCTCAGTAGCATCTTGCCTTAATGCTCAAGGAGTCATAACAGTTTAACTCAATCATATCTCATTTCTAAAATTTTACACATGAAGCATAAGAAAAGCTTTTGGCTTCACCCAACCAGTTTGAAGTCAGGAGACGGTGTTCTGTGCGCCCTGCTTCAACAGAAGTCCGTGCGCTTTTACGCAAAGATTTTAGGTGATTTTTTTTCTGCCATTTTAACCCAAAACTGAATTAAAACATTAATTTACAACAAAAATAGTAACTTATTGAAACAATTATTTTAATTTATTTTTTATTGGAATGATAGGCTGTTATTATTTGTTTTCTACTTTTTAAAGATGTGCGTAAAATGTATTTTAATAAGCATTAATAGCATTTTATATTATATGTTTGCCAATATTTTAATATAAAGCAATAGCCTTAAGTACAAGTAAATATTCGGCTGCTAGTTTTCTCCTGTCTGCTGCTTTTTAGGTACAAAATTATTGCCACACGACATTAGAAAATACAGTGAAGCATTAAAATTAACACAATAACTTCTAACTTACACACTCAGTGGATGTCTGGATCAAACCGGAGCTGAGCCTGCATGTAGCTACTGTGAAAAATATCAAGAAATTATTATTATTATCATTATTATTGATAGATTTTTGTGAAAGGTCTTGCCGGGAGGTCTAACGTCAGTCCTGCAGCAGCAGCTGATGCCACCAGCAGCTCCTAACAGAAGAAGTGTGCGCCTGCAGGTTGAGCCGACATCTCCTTACACAGGAATTAAAGAAACACAGCGTCTTCTGGTGGCAGACACACTCATGTGGAATATTGTGATCAGTTTGATTCCACTGAGACTCTAAACCTGCCTTCATTGGTTCATTTATTAAAATACAATATGTAGATTTTTATTTACGTCTTCATTTAACTCTGAGTGATGCTGGTGCACCTTCAGCAGCAGTGTGAAGTCTCATGACTGCAGTGACATGCACATCACTGACAGTCACGCGGATCATCAGCCACAGTTGTGTATTTACAGGCTGCATGTTACAGCAGCATCATATGTGCCTATCTGCAGCGCTGCAAAGCTGCACCGGTCCAATCTAAACATCACACACACACACACACACACACACACACACACACACACACACATCACAACAACATATCCTGTCACTGCCTTACAATTATCTTTAATGAAGCAATAATATCATATAGTCCGAGGCTAAATATTACACTTAAAATAAATTGTCTGGATGATAGCCGAGGTGCACGCGCACACCTCGCAGGCCATATAATCACAGGCAATTAAAATTATAGCATGTTTCTGCATCCAAGGTAAACCTTGCGTATGCCTGCCTTAATTACGGAATTTCGCAAGACATTCTTAATCATCTAAATCAGTACCTTTCCCCTGTTCTGGCACACGGCTATTACGGCCAATTAGCGCTAATTAGTCCAAATGTTCCGGCTAATTCCTCAGAATAATGAGGACACTTTGAAGTGGCGGGTATGAGGCTACCGAGCCTTTGTTATCGAGGCTGCACGTTGTTGTTTAGGAACTGATTGGCGCGTGATATGATCCGGAGAGCAACTTCAGACAGGGGGAAGAAGTTCGTGCAATGAAAACTAAAATGGAAGTTGCTTACTGTTATTATTTCATATAAAATAAGATAATATTTTCTTATTAAAAGGTATAAAATGAATTGTAAATATTTATGTGTAAATGAAAACACCACAGGAAAAGCTACAGCCACACACTGTATGTACGAAAATATTATTTCAAGTGCAAAAATCAAATTCTATACCTGCTAATGAAGCACAAACTGTTGTCCAAAAGATAAATTAAAATATCCGCACATGTATCTCCATTTAACTCCAAGGGTATATCAAATAATAAATTATAGATTTCATTATGCTTCATCTGGGCTATTTTGCATTAAAACACGTAACATTTAAGGTCAACTTTAATATAAATAGTTATGTTAACTGTGTTATGTAATAATACCAAGCCTGCATCCTGCAAGAAAAAGTATAGGCCCTTTTAAATCTCATTGAAACAGGTTAAAAAGTAATAACTTTCTGACAGTGTTGCCTCCTCTGAGGATTGTTCCCCTTAAAACTTTGTCTGACTCTTTCCTGTGTCCTCACGTGACAGCTCTTACAACTTTTGTGCCACTAGAAAATGAGCTGCAGAGAAAAATGACCCTGAAAAGGAGATGACAAAAAGAGAAAAGCTTCACCATCACATCTTTCTTTTAGAGTTATCCATTAAATCACCTCACATTAAATAAAGATTTATGGTGCACACATTTAAAACTACATATTAATCTGTTCCTCTGATCCTCCATCACATCAAACTCTAGCTACTCCACACAGTAAAACAAAAAGAGCTGGACTCATTAGAGGGCAAATACTTGAGCAAATACTGGCGCATGACGTCACGCCAAGCAGCGTACACGCGTCACCACGGGCGGCCATCTTTCTGCACCCAATCAACAGCAGTGTAGTATAGTGGGGGATTCAGGGAGTGTAAAAAGCATGGTGGGTTTTATGGCGCAGTGACGCGCGGCCTCTAGCGGATCACAGACTGAGTTCACCCAGAGAACTAACACGCACACCGTTCGGTCACTGTTACAGCAGGAAGTGAGACATGATACAGTGTGTTAGTGCGCCATCTAGTGTAGAGCTGGATTATGGACACATCAAAACCTGATTACACTCAGAGTATGATCAGTTTTTTAGGACTTTGCCTTAGTGTTTGGTGCATTAGACACAAGACGAAGAAATGAAGGCACAGAACTGCAAAGGAACATTACTATAGAACAGAAAAATACTTTCAATTTTTCGTTGTTGAACTTTGTTGTCCAAAACAAAATTGCAAATACTGCAACATTTCTAAAAGTCTTCTGATTTTTTCATTTTGTAGCTCTGCATGAATTTTCCTTGCTCCACACTCCAAGCTAGGAATGTCCTTGTTGTCTGTCACACCTCACTGGCCTTTATAAAATACTGTGATAATATGATAGTCCCAATGTCCTCAAATGAGTATTTTATAATTAACAGCATCTTAGCTTGTCACTGTTGCTAAAATTGATCAAATTTGTTGCCGTATTAAACCACAAACGTTATAAAGCACAAATAAACAAGTTCCAAGCATAACATTTGATCAGGTTTTGCACCTCGTCCACTTTTATAGTGTGATCGATGGTAGACTGGGCATAAAAGTGTCCACAAACGAGGACAACAGTTGTAGGTTAAGCAGAATGAAGTATAAGGTGCAGGAAACCCAAAATGTGATGTCCTCATATGAGTGTCTCAGGAGGACATAACTGTTTTAGAGTAAGAAAGGTGAACAGTTTCGTGCAGGATGTGCAGAAATATTGATCGGAAAAGTGCAAAAGTTCACAAATAAAATATAGAATGTAAGCATTATTTGAAAATTAGAAAGATGTCACTACAATAACAGCTTGAATGTTATATTCATGACAGTTACAGGCTAAAGAAGGATACCAGCTGTTATTAAACAAATACATCTTGTCTATTATACGTTAAATACTTAATATTGAATGTTGTACTTGTGTACGATCACACATTATGTTATACTTCCTTATACTATACCTTATATTCCATACTATATTATGTTACTGTGTTAAACTGTGGTACATTATAAACTACATTTCTATTATTTTTCTATATTAATACAGGCAAACTCCAATAACAGGTAATCATATGTGTTCGTCTGGCATTTACATGTACTGTACCTCGCTGACTTTGCTGCTGCTCATCACATCACTGTCATTTTTGATTTATAATTTGGTCTTTAATTGTTTTGTATATATATTTTTACTTTTATCATTTAGTTTTATACACCTTGTTATTTATTTTTTATCATTCTTGGTTTATCTGTTCTCATTTGTGTCCTTGTGCTGCTGCAACAACCATATTTCACCTCTGGGGGCCCAAAAAGGTTTCTTATCTTATTTTGTGGACAGTATGTAAAGCGCATGTTTTATTTGATTGGTTGTTTTTACATGTTTTGGTGCCGTCAAAGCCACCCAGGGGTTTTCAAATTTAAACCTCATTAGCTGCACTTTTGGTCTGACCTTTGACCTTTGAAAAAACACACAAAGACTCCCGAAGTTCTTAAGTGTTTGTTTTTAGTTTCTCACAACTGATCAGATGCCATCTTTGTTTATTAGCATCAGTTTGGTATATTCAAAAATTTGTTTCCCATCCCCCAAAATATGTGACGTTACACAGCCTGTTGAGACTCTAAAAAGATAAGGGGAAAATTATACCTTTAACTTTAATGTTGAATAAATTCTAGGGCACAAAAGTGTGTTTTCAAGATCTCTGCCACTGATTCTCAATTATTGTAGCAAATTCTGGATTTAAGAAGTTGTTTATGAGCTATTTAGACATTTTATGATGTTTTCATGTAGAAAAAAAGACAAGTAATGATTAATAAGTATTCCTAATTGTATTAAAATATGTCTTTACGGGTGGCCACTAGATCACCTGGCTGAGTGGGTACAAAGGCTTTGTCTTCGTCGCAGCAGCCATGTGTTCGATTCAAACTCCGGCCCATTTGCTGCATGTCATCCCCCCTCTCCCTCTGCCCATTTCATGCCAGACTTTCCTATCTGATAAAGGCTAAAATTCCCCAAAACTTAAAAAAATGTGTTTAAGCAGTTTCCATGTTTAGTCCGAGATGTTTCAAAAACAGGGTGTTAACCCAGAAGTTAATTTAAACACAACGTGCAATTTTCTTATTAAAGTTGATAAAGTTTTATTGTTTCAAAAATTACAAATGTTTACCTTTATTAATAAGTACTTTCTGTAGAGTGTAAGGTGTGATAAACATCATTGAAAGTCAGCATGATTCTCAACTATTGCTCAATGCAGAGGTTCCCAACCTGGAGCATGACCGCTGAAGGCATCACATTAAATCTGAGGATTCTCATGTTGATATTTCCTCCTTTTTTTCCTGATGTTTGAGACACCAGAGACTTTAATCTCTTCTTTTCTCTAAAATGTATCATATTAAACACTAAAAGAAATAAAAATGTAATGTTTGTTGAGTTGCTCACAACCATGAATACATACAAACTGCAGCTATGAGGGCCAAATAATTGCTTTTATAAAGTGGTCACAACCCAAAGATGTTGGGAAATGGCTCACTGTAAAAACACACTCACTTGTTAACAGACTTTTCAATGGCCCGGACATCAGTGACGTACTTTAATCTAAAAATAAATTAAAAATCATGTGAAACACCAGAGAAAAGGAGAAACATAAGTAATCTTAATGGACTTGTTTTTCAATTTTTGTTGCATTTATCCCCCTAAAATTCAACATTTGCTTAACAGATCAGAAGTTTATATCTTAACATGAACCACTTCACTCTGACTTGACTTCATCATCCAAACTGTCATATTTTGCCACTAGTACTGTTGTATTCTGACTCTGAGTCTATAGAATCAAACATTTCCTCTCATTCAGCTGCAGCACATCTCTCAGAGCTCTGAATCAAACTCAAGTCTCACTTCAAAATAGTTCAGAGCTCACTTTTATAGGCTAACACAAGTTAATGAAAGGCTAACTTAGCTGTTGGTATTGCACATTATGTACCCACAAACCTATAAGCTGCAGTTGTTCTTTAAATACCAAATAATTTAAGTCTACAAACTAAAATAAAGTTTTAGGGCTGCTGTGAAGCTGTGCCTACTTAGAGCAACAAAAAAGTTTATCTTGGTGTGTCGATACAATAGACAACCAGGAAAGGATGGCAGAGGAGATATCCACACACCACCTTTCTTTTTGCATTGATCTCAGCCTGTGAACATTTTTTGTGGCTGTCCAGCCCAGTTTCATTGGTGTACCTGTATCTCCCATACCGTCCTTTATAAACTAAAACAAAACATCTCTGTACTCTTAAAGCATCTGTTGTTGATGCTGCAGATAAAATTTTGACGAAAACCAATTTTCTGTTTCTAAAAGAGCCTTTAATTGCAGGGATGCAGGACGAAAATGTTTATCATGACAAGTAGCCAGTTTCTAAGGATATAATCATTATATTTTGTGAACTCTGTATCCCACTGCACAAGATTTTACACAATCACACTGTTTGCAAATGACAAGCTATGACAAAGATTTTGTAGGGTACAATCTTTATAAGAACATTAGTGTTTGAAATGCCTACGTCTAACATCAAAAATCTAGCCAATAAATTATCTTAAAATCAGTCTCTAACTCAGAGGGCCATTAGGATCTAATACGTATTTGCAGCAAGTTACCAAAACTCCTCCTGTGGCCTCGTTTATGTGGACCTTATAACTTCCCTGAAAGGGGCCCTGGCACAGGCCAGTGAGTAAAACTATAGGATGGGCCGGCTAATACAAGCCCATCCTTTTCAGACAATTCCTCTGACCAACTTAAAAAACCAATGGCAACCTCTAAAAGCCTGTCTTTGTCACCCTTAAACCCCAAGATGCTCTAAAACACCATTGTGCAGTTAAACCTCATAAATTTGTCGCAGGGACTGATTAAACATCACGGGAATTGAAACACTAAAGATTTTGTCTCGGTCCCTTTTGGGCGAGGGACAATGGTCCATTCACGGGGAGACACGGAGACAAAAAGAGTGTTTAAGGGGAGATGCAGCGAGCTGAGGGGTTCGGCCAGTCCCCTCCATATGTGATACAAGGTGGCCCCAGCGAGGGGGACAAAGGACCAGGTGACAGGGACGATGGGCTGCAGGGTCACAGGACGAGCAAACAACATTACAAGGGGCGTGAAAGCAGAAGACCCCCCTCGTCACTGATGAAATACTGACATGATTTTAAACACTCGGGCATATTTTTCATGGTGGAACATTAAATGGGAGCAAGGACGGATTTGTCTCAGAGTATGTCTCACTTTGAGGATACGGCATCCATTACTATGGGCAGAGTTTCTCTCAAGTCTGTTTTTAACAGCACAAATAACTTTCAATTGAATAATCTTTTAATAACTGCTGTGTCTTTTGCTAAACAGCCAAAACCATCTAAATAAACGCGTCTTTTTCCTGCATATTTCTGGCTATAAAAGCATCTTGCTCCTCAGCATCAACTGTCCTGATACAGTGAAATAATATAAAGATTAGATCTTGAAGAAAGTCGATCATCCAGTTTTTATTCAGAGCCTGTTGCACCCTTTAAAAAATCATATCCTCTTCAGACCTACAGTACACAAACCGAGCCGAGTGTGACAGCAGTATTTGTCCCACTTGCTTTAGAATAACAAAAGTTAATTGTATAAAAGTGAAAAGCACCCAAGACAACAACAGGGTGCTGCAGTGAAAGAGGCTGTAATGTTTACTGGGTATTCTTATGCTTAACCAAATCCAGTCCCTTTTTACAAGTGATGTTTGCTCAGCTTTTGGGTGCATAATTAGGTTTTTTTTTAACATTATAAAAGCCTCCAGGCTCCTGTCATGACCTGATACATATTTTACATTTTATAAATTAAATTTATTTCAAATTAAATATAATTTGAAAACACTAAAGAAAATAAATATAAATATTAAATAATATTATTATTAGATAAATATTTTTAGGAGCAGTTAAAAATGAGAATCTAAACTTTAAAAAAAGGAAAAAATTAAATTTAATAAAATAAAATTTGTTTGTGTGTCTATTTGTTTGCAGAAATGGATACAGCCAAATTTGGGGGGCTAAACTTGCAACAACAAAAAAATGCACATTAACCAGGAAATGTATCATACAAAATATGAGAAACTTTATTAATTATTTCGTTCACAAAAGAAACAAGTTTATACAGTTAAAGAAAGTCTCCTTAAAGACAACAAATAACATTATATTTTCCTTCAAACATTCAGGCTAATAGTGGCTTTGCTGCTATTCTAACACCGCCTACAGCCTACTGCACCTCATCTGTCTTCATACGAATATTAACAGCTTCACATACAAATACATTATCTCACCGGATAATTAAAACTCTACAGGCTACACCAGTAAGCCCATGTATGAGAAAATATTATCAGCATTTTAAAAAAATAGTAAAAATATCAAAATAAAATGTGCAAAATATAAATTTGTTCTATAGAGAAAATCTAAATGTTTAAGTTGCTCGAAAATTTTGCAAAACATTCAGAAAACATTTGATGCAATTCTAAATGAGTTTGTGCATTGAGATGTGACATGAGGCCTTCACTTGTTCACTTGAAAGAGTTAAAGTGGACCGAGTCGCTCCAAAAGTCTCTCCACGCGAATCTGGAGGCCGCCGCGGTGGGAAAGTGCTGGTGGTACCTCGGAGGGAGCGCGACGTGGGACGGATGCTGCAGAGACGGGTAGGCTAAAGGAAAGGCCTGTGATGGAGGCAAACAGCCAGGTTTCTCCGTGTCAAGTAAGCAGGTGTGAAAAGGTTTCCCGTCCCGGACCAGGATGGGAACGACGACCCGGCGCAGCAGCGGAGGCTGCGGTATCTCCACGTCCTGCAGCGCTCCCTCCGCCCGGCCTCGCTTCATCTTGTAGCGGTGGTTCTGGAACCAGATCTTCACCTGGGTCGGGGTCAGGCTGAGGAGCCGGGCCAGCTGCTCTCTCTCCGGGCCGGAAAGGTAGCGCTGCTGACGGAAGCGCCGCTCCAGCTCCAGGGTCTGGGCCTTGGAGAACAGCACTCGGCGCTTCTTGCTCTTCTTGCTCTTGTCGGGCTCCGAGTCCTGGGACGAGTCATCCGGCTTGGTCGAGTCGGGGGAGGCCTCGAGACTGCCTTCATCAGAGGCTGTACAGATAAATAATGCAGGTTAGTCCAAATTCATACAGAAATATAAGCATATATTACGCATTTTAAGCATCCATCTATCTATCTGTCTGTCTGTCTGTCTGTCTGTCTATCTATCTATCTATCTATCTTATTAGTAAGCTATTAAAATAAAAATAACACATCCAACTATCTAGATAATGGCTCCTTATGATTTAAAAATAAAGGTACAAGCTGTCTCATAAATAAAAATATAAATATTTCCAGGGTTGAGTGAATAGATGATGGATATTTCAATCATTTGCATTCATCGGTGGTTTTAAAATGCACTTACATATGCAGGGGCTCTGGTCGCACTCCATCCAGGAGCTGAACGGAGAGCTGGAGGAGCAGGAGGAGTAAAGCGGGGAGGACCGCGGCGCAGCCTCCGCATCCCGCTCAGGCAAATCCAGGATGCTCCTGACGGAAAAACTGAACTTGGTCGGTGTTGCCATCGCGTCCGTGCGTGCAATCCCGGGGTTTGCTTTGCGTTAACAAGTATGTTTATCCAAATAGGAAGGAAAAGAAAACCGCAGCAGATCCTGTCCACTTTACGCGCTGTCCAAACACCGTGTGCGCTGCGCTCAGTGTTTACACAAACAGCACTCCATAAGCTGCAAACACAAGGCTGCTCCGCTTATAAAGCCTCCTCCTACCGCTGAGTACCTGAAAGGCTGGAGTGCTGTCACCCAATGACGGTAGGTGCGGAGCAAGAAGAAACCTTCAACAATGAGCGAAGGAAACACTCGTCACCATTACAGATTCGTCCCGTACCGTCAAACTGGGGAACAGATAATGGTGATTGTTGGAGCTGAATCACGTCTTGGGTGGCAACTGACAACAAGAGCTCGACCCATCATCAAACTCCCCCCACCCTCCTCATCCTCCTCCTCCTCCCCTGTGCTCGCCCAAACAACGTGTCCAACATTTGCATACAAAGTGAGCAATTAGCGTGATGCCCGCGAGTTGGTTTAACTAATGCGTCCATTAGAGGTGGATCAATTGCAGGCGTGAGAAGTTTGGACGTTTATGGATGGTGCAGGAAATTCCTTTGAAATATTTAGGAAACAGGCAAAAGGAAATTCTTTCTTTGCGAGTTTGTGGATGATTTATGATGATGTGACAAATTTAAAAAGGGCAACACTTTATTTTAACATGTAGCAAATAGTTTCTGACACACTTTGCTGTTGTTTAAAGCAAATATAAGAGTTTATTAGTGTATTTACTAACAGCTATAACGCCTCCTGTTGGTACTCTGAAGTGGAAGCTGGTGTATTAAAGTAAATAAATAAATAAATTACTAATAATATATATCATTATAGTAAAACACACTGTATGTTTTAGGAGACGTTATAATTGTACTTGTGGTATTATACGCGTATATAAATGTTACATAAGGGCGTTAAACTTACAAAAACATGATAATAATTGTATTACAAAGGCTAATTAATTGCACAATAAATACCTTTTATGCCTAACTTGAAGTTCCAAACATGCCTGATTCAGCCTCTGATAAATTAAAGCAGTGATTGATGACTTTTGACAGGATTTAATTAATTGGTTATCAAGATAAATGATCGATAATCCATCATGTTTCACGCGCAAAAATTAAAAGGAGCACCCTGGCTTGTATTGCATTATTTTTTATTGATTTTTATGGCTTTAATTTAATATTTAAAATTATTTGTATTGTTATGTTCAGTCATTTTCAATCCAAGCTGACGCCTACAGGCTGATCTGCACATATAAAACACATTAAATGCAAAGCGTGAATCCAGCCGTATGTGGGGGTGTTTTTAACCCCCGTATTTGATATTGATATCGACCCTCATCCACTTCAGCGAGGCGCATGAGGCCGGGGATGAGAGTGGTGGTGGTGGTGGTGGAGGTGGTGGTGTTCATGCCTCCCCAGTCGTCCTGGGTGGTCGGACGAGAGGGAACACAAATACATGCCAACCAGAGGAGGGGAACAAAAGGGGAAAATGTAGCCCCGCGTCCGAGACCCGTTGGAAGCATTTGTTCCAGTCAAGATTTTGCATTTGTTCAGTCCCGCAATAATGCCTGATTGACGCCCCGGCACAATGTCCTTTAACTTTGCAGGATAAATCCGAGCTTGTTCCGTGTTGTCATGGTTTTGAATGGAGCTGAATAGGATCTGGGACACTATCTACTGCTCCGCGTCTACTGCCGCCAAGTCTATAGTCCCGAGCAATATTACATGTGTGATTCAGGACGTATTAAACTCCTTTTAGGTTTCCAGCAAAGTCGGTGACCTGTATCATCAGCCCAAAATGCTCACACATCAACATTTATCTAGTTTTTACGCACATTACGCACAAGCGTTTCCTCGCAAAACAAACACTGTAAAGGCACTTTAAAGATATCACCAAAACTAAAAGGACTGACTTCCGCTTGCAGCATCATGTCTGTGTACACAGCAGCCTCCCAGAGGTTGACAAACACCAGCGGATTACAGTACGGCAGGTTTGCTGGAGTGGGTAGTTTACAGAGGGCACTCGATTGGAGAGCAAAAACACGCAAAGGCAAAGAAAAGTCATGTCCAAAGAGCGGGAATTTCTCTGTCCACAATGACCCAGCAGCCACTTAATCTATTTAACACCCAGCCAGAGAGGGTCCTCTGCAGCTCCCAAGAGCTCTCCACTGCCAAATATTTACTCTGTTGTTCAGCTCTCCATTCCCAATCCCTTCCTCAGACAAATGGAGATTTTTTTCTCACATGGTTCTGGATTAAGCAGCTGACAGTTTGAACATTTTAGACCTCAGTGCATATTTTACACGCTGATGAACAAGCCTACAATTCAAGTGATTTACTCCAACGTTGAAATAATATATATAAAATTTCGGATATTTAAGTGTCCCTTCACTTCCTTCACTCCAAAATGTGTTCAGCGTATTGTTGGATGTTTGAGCTCCACTGTGCAGAATGTGCAGAGTTTGACAGAAACGTTCATCTGCTGATGAAGGAAAGTTTCTCTGTGCCCTTATATCTGAGTTCAAGAGATAAGGGTATGACTTTATGACATCACAATAAATCAGAAAGCTAATCAATAAAGGTCCATTAAGTAACTTACACAAGTGAGATGAGGAGACTTGAAACCGTCAGTTTTAGTCAGTTGACAACTGATTTTAAGAAGTCCAAAACATTTTTGACATTTTTGAGAAGGACAGAATCAAAATAAATAAGTTAAAATATCTTAATAAAACAGTTTGACCACTAAATATCAACTTTTGGATGAATATAATGTTGGTTTAACTTAATTAAGTTTTTCTAGGTCAAAGCAAATCACGTTGGTTGTACTAAACTAATTGAGTTTGTCAGATCATGAAAGCCTTGCAGGATTGACTACTCAAAAAGATATATGCAAATTGTTGCCTTAATTCTTTTTAAACTGAACCAGTGCATTATTTTTTTGATCAGTGAACAAACACTGAGAATAGATTTTCGAGTGAAATAGGAGACATTGGGTGTCTAGAAATCAAAAAAAATTAAATAAAAAATATCTGTGTATTCATAGATTCTGGATTTTTCAGTGAAGAAGAATGAGTAGACGAAATTTTACGAATCTGAAAGAATTTGAACTTGTGCAGAAACTAAATCAGACAAGATTATTATTCAAAACAGAGTATTTTTGTACTGTACGTCCTCAAACATTGCTAGAGGTGATCTTTAATAATCAGGCAAAGCCCCAGTCACGTTTCAAAACTGTCATATCCATACAGTAATTTAACATCTCACAGTTACTCAGTGTTTGTATTAGACGTTCACTGTCCTTGATGTCATGTAATTCATCATTTACTGGATCATTCAACTCATATTTATAAACTTCTTAAGACCCTTGTATATTCGCTTGATTTCGTTGGCGCTTCTAAATGAATAACTATAATGTTTTGTTTGTAGCGCACTTTTCAACCAAGGAGCACAATGTTCTTTCCACTACAGGACAAAAGCATTAAACACAATTTCACATATAAGAACACCACCATAAAAAGAAGGTTACATAACCTCCACTCATAAATGTGAAAAAACAATCAACAGTAGCACTATAAACTAACATATGGTTCTCACATGACAGAGCTGTATTATATGTACAAACAAGTCTATAAATATATATTTTTTAAAATAAGATTTAAAAGTTGAGACTGTTTCAAAGCAGAGGTGGTAGTGTAGCAAAAGTTCACTCACCACATTAGCATGGACTCTGGAGGAGCCAAATGCCAAACCCCAAAAGATTTAAGAGGTCTTTTTGGGCAGTAAGGAGTCCACAGTTCTCCAGTGTTTGACTCTGCAAATCTTGTGAGATTCCAAAATGGATCTAAGAAATTGGTAACTGGTGCAAAGAAGCTAAAGCTGGAGAGATATGAGAGGAGTGTTTAGTTTTACTCTGTAGTGGGGCTGCAGAATTCTGCACAATCTGAAACTGAACCTCAGCCCGAGCGTTATAAAAAGAACTTCACAGATTTAACATTGCACTCCTGTAACACTGATGTACTCCAAATACTTCTCCGCCCGGATGATCACTTGTATATCAGTTACTTCCCCTACACTGAATTTATGAAGAAAACTTTGCTTTTCTCGTGTCTTCACTGTGAACAAAAAATCCAAATTCAGAATTTAAAGGAAAAAAAAATCGTAATGAGCATGAGACCTGGATTATACTACATGAGTTGTGAGAGTTTGTAGACAAATGTTTTGATATAGTTGTGCCTATGTTAAGTGTGGACCTCTATGACCTCAATTCATCAAGAATTTTCTCAGTTTTTTGGATTCTTCGTTCATCGTGGAGGCATGACAGAAAAACAATACTTTCTTACCTCATTAAAAATATAATACGAGGTGAATAACTGACATAGAAATTATCATTTGGGAGGTGAAGTATTCCTTTTAAAAAAGGATCAGAATCAATGCAGCAGAACCAGAGGCTTATTTTAATCCAATCAAAACCACAATGCATCTTAACCACCAACAATTCACTCAGAGATTCAGGTGTATTATGCTAATAGTTGCTAATTTTAGCCGCAAACAGCTAGCTTCCAGCAGAGATGAGACGCAGGCTAAACAGTCTGGTAAACTCACTTGTTTCTAACTCCACACCACTAGATTTATTTTACTTTTTAAACCAGTCTTCAGACTTAACCAATGATAAATTGGAGCCACAACATACAGCATAACTACCCAACAGCTCTAAACAGACCAGAGGTGAAATACTCAGACGGATGTCAGATACTGTAAGTGCCTTTAGTACTTATTTTCTTTCCACCACTGAAACAAACTTTGATTTCTTCTTTAACACAAGTAAACAAGGCATTATAAAAGTCCAGCTGTGAAGATGTGAGTGTGAATATCTTCTAATATTTTGCCTTTGCTTAACTGTTTTTATCGTGAAACACTGAAGTGCTGTATAAATACATCTTTAAATAGTATAATATCAATGTCTTTTAACCAAACATGCACAGCGACTGTGAGTTTGCAGTTTCTGAGTGAACAACAGACAAAGCTAAAGCTCAGGATGTTTATCTGATCTCAGTCTGACTGATTATCTGTCACCTAAACACCCACAATGACCCCTCTGTTACTCCTCGGTGCAGTAATGGAGGCTCAGTGTAGCATGATGCTCCAGCAGCTGCACCTGCCGCTGGTGTCCTCTCCCCTCTCACAGTCCTGTAAATACCATTAGCATTTTGGAGAGGGGCAGCAGGGGGGATAATTAGTTGGCAGACACATCCCTCTCTCTGCAGTAAACTGGGGTCTTGTGACACTGCTTGATCATGTAGCAGCTGTGTGTGTGCTG